TGTGTGTGTGTGTGGGTGGGTGGGGGGAGGCTTCCAAGAGTTTGCAGAAAAGCGTAATGAATTTTCCCCACACACTTCTTATGCCTGTTTATTAGAGAACATCCATTCTTAATTGAAAGAGCGGTGGAGAGCCAGAAACTGGGAGTCTGGGAAAGAGACAACGTGTGTGCTTTGCAAACGCATGCTCAATAGTACGACAGCCTCGATCATTCCCTCCGGCACACCACGTTCAACGACAGAGGAGGGCACCTCGCGCTTCTGCTTTTCACGGGGCGTGGCTGCAGCATCTGCCCCGGGCTCAGCGGCAAATGACAGCCTGGGTGAACCAGGAAAACATAGGGGCCTTCCACCCGGAGAGGTAAGTGACTTTTGTCTCAGGTCAACTGCTGTGCATTGCTTCCGGAGGGAGTGGTGTCGCGTGTTCACAGCCCCGTGCCCAGCTAGGGCTCTGCGTCCAATGGGGGAGGGAGTCCGGGAATTCTGTGGATCAGCTAAAACGAATAGGAGGGGCCTTCAAAAAAGTTTGCGGCGAAATCCGTTATCACCTGGCTCCCTTGTCCCCATGGACTTTTTGAAGACTCCTCCTGAATCTTACAGAGAAGCACTGCACGCCCCACACAGCAGGCTTCTGGGTATCGATCCCGGAGAGCCTTCCGCGGAGGCTGGGCGGATGGTGCCAGTCCTGTTCCATCTACCTGAACAAGTCACAGGTTTCCTCTTATTGGTTCTGACAGGGCCAAGCAGCTCGGCGGAGGGGCTGGCACGCTTACCATAGTGACCCCGAGAGCAGAGGCAGCTGCCCCAGGCCCTCTGCTCCCAAGCTGGTGCGGAGGCCGACGCAGGGCCAGACCCTGCCAGGAGCCAACAGGGAGGCGCCTCTCCCTGGCCCGATGGCTGCAGCTGGTCTCTCACACACACACACACACACACACACACACACACACACACACACACAGCCCCGGAGCCAGGGGCCCACTTACCGCAGTGGGACTGGAACACCTGCGGCTTGACGACTTGGTTACAGGCACTGCACACCACCAGGTAGAAGTCGTCATGAGCTGGGTAATGGCCGAATAGGTGCATATCTGTGGGGGAATGAAAACACAAGCAAATGATTATGATTTTCTTGTTTTTTTTTTTTTTTTAAGCAATTCCATCTCAGAAGGGGTACAGTGTCCTCTTCAAGGGCCAGGGTTTCCAACAAGACTCACAGAAATGCAATACTCTCTATTACTGGGAATGCAGCCTGTCAGAACACAGCTCCCCAACTCTCAGAGAAGCAATCCACTCAAAGATTCAATGTCACTTCCCGCGCAGAACGGACTGCTCAGAGTGCGGGGTGGCTCGCAACAAGTGCCACCGTGCAAGTCTCGCTGAGCCCAGGGAAGCGCGATCTCAGCGGTTCTCAACCTGTGGGTCCCGACCCTTTTGGGGGCTGAATGGCCGTTTCACAGGGGTCGCCCGGTTCATAATAGTAGCAAAATTACAGTCATGAAGTAGCAACGAAAATAAGTTTATGGTTGAGGGGTCATCACCACATGAGGAACGATATGAACAGGATTAGGAAGGTTGAGAACCACTGCTCTCTCTACTTCAGGATGAGGTGGGACTCACCCAGACCCATTCCTACTTAAGTAGAGGTCTCTTGGTTGGGCACGGGGTATCGGGGACGGATTGAGGCGTCATCTCCACCTCAGAGTTCACTGGGGTTGCCCCACCACCTGAAGGAGAAGCCAGGGCCAAAGGCAGTTCTCCTTTGCGGCCTCCCTGTCCACACGTATCTGCTCACTGCTCTCTGCGGGCTTTACTTGAGTGGCCGGCACTGTGCCAGGCGCCGGGGGTACCTGGTGGAAAAGAGGGACGTCTCCGCTCTTCCGGAGCTGAGGGTAGCAGAAAACAGCAGCATTGACCCGATCATGGTGACACCAGCAATGGTTTGGCTGTACTTTGTGGCAAGTTCAAAGACGATGATGAGCAGGGTCGTAGGAGAGCGTGGGGTGGGTGCGTCTAATCTAGTCTGAGGGGCTGCGGAAGGCTTCCCGGAGGAGGGGCATCCCAGCTGAGACCTAAGGATGAGCAGGGGTCCGAGAGACAGAGATCCAGGGGCGCAGGGAGGAAAATTCACATGGAGGGACCCCTGCTCATCTGAGGAAGCACTTGAACGGGGCTCAGGAACAAGATGGGAGTTTGGGGGGAGGGAGATGAGGCTGGCAGGACTCAGGACCTGTAACCCTTGTAGACCAAAGTAAGGCTGTGGAACCTGATTTTAAGAGTAACGTGACACTACTGGGGATTTTTAAGCAAAGCTGAGCTGCGGTGAGATCACGCACCGTGAAAAGATTGGTGAAGAAAGAGATCCGTTGTGCGGACATGCGGTACTTCCACGTTCACAGCAGCATTATTCCTACTGGCCAGAACGTAGAAGCAACACCCTCCCCACCCCCCACCGTGTGCACCAACTGAGGAGACGCACCACATGGGGGGGCCACCCTATAGAGTGTCATTTGGGAATAAAAAGGAGTGAAATACTGATAAGTACCGCAACATGGATAAACCGAGGAAGATGTCAGGCCCCCCCCCCAAATCAAATAACATATGATTCCACTAAGTTATGCGTATTCAGCAGGAAGTTGCACCAATAATTTTTTTCTGTCCTTCACGACACTGCACCTGCTGACTCTTCAGCGCAGCAAGGGCTGCACGATGCAACTTTTGTTGGGAAACCTTATCAATCCTCCCCCCACCCCATCCGCTTACAGTCATGATCTTGCCCCTCGAACTGCTTTTTGCTCCTCACACTCAAAGGACATTTCAAAGGAAGGCGATTTGAATTCCCCGAGGATGAGAAACTGCCGTCTTGACTGGGAGTTGGGCCGGCTTTCCCAGGGACGGTTAGAGAGGCGGAAACACTGCCATCCGGCGTGGACACACTGAGGGGGAGGGCAGTACAGGAACACACTTTACGATGTTTGCTTAATAAAGGTTTCCATTTTGTAGAGATCGTTTTTAAGTGAACCTCATACATATAGGTCTCCCGCGTCCCTGCTTCCTTCAACATGGAAAAAACCACGAGGTGGTCGGAACTCCACGGACTTACTCAATGAACATTGATTGAGCTGTCTTAAATTCTTTCTATAATAAGTCAAGCTACGAGGGAAGAAAAGAAGTCCACATATGACTTAAAATCACACAACCAGGTATTGCAATCACTCCTTGAGCATTGATTCCAGAAGCCGTGACACAGTGTGGGGAGGTTGAGACAGGCACTGTAGACTGTGGTGATGTGTCTTGCCTTCGTGGCTTTATGGGACATTCTTGATAACCTGTCAGGGGGCTGTAAGGACTTCATTTGATGCCTCACTCCTATTTTCCTTCAGAGGCCTGTAGACTGCTCTGCCTCTGCTTCCATCTCTCTCTCTCACATACACCCGTCTTACATCACTGAGGTGACAGTAAAGGTTAGGTTAGTCAGAGATGGTGGTCACCTGGGGGGTGTCCCACTCCAGGGCCCCCGCACTCAGCTCGGATTGTTCTTGGTGTCCCTCCAGGGAAGTTTTGACCTTGTACATGTCTGCTCAGAGCACATCTCCTGTGGAAGGGGAGAGGACCTGCTTGTCTGCTTGGATTATTCCCCAGTGAATCAACCAGGAGTCCTTCTACCGGTTGCTCAGGTTTTGATAGCTGGGGAGATGAGAGCAGGGTAAGAGTCCTTGGCTCTCGGGTAGCATGAGGACCACCACTTCACATGGCTAGTGAGCTGTTGCCTGTCCGTTTAGACTGATGGAAGCTGGGGTGGGAGAGGCAGGACAGGGAGAGAGGAAAACCAGAACACCAGGCACCAGGGTAGATACTCTGTTCAATCATTTTCTCTCTCTCACTAGAACCACTCAAGGAAAACATCCAGTGCACAGTCTAACATAAAAGCCATCGTGGGGCGAGACGGGCCTGCAGCAGCTCATGAGAACTGACTGTGTATTTCTCTTCCTAACTCTGTGTTCAGTGAGCTCACACTGGTAGCTTATAATTGGCGATGGTGGGAATGTTTAACAGGGAAATGGGAAAACACAAAGACACCACCAATCAGGGGGTTATTTTTCCCTTTTGGAGAGCTGGCTGCCAAACATTTACCAGCGCACCATTGGACCAAAAAGATGGGCAAAGAAAACCCCAAAGTGAACACTATAATGGCCTATAATGCCATTAATGTGTCTTGGCTGTCTAGTGCAGCTGCAACAGAAATATCATGAATGGATGACTTCGACAGACAAAATGTATTCCCTCACCGTTGAGGATGCTAGAAGTTCGAATTCAAGGCACCAGCTCTAAGGGAAGGCTTTATTGTTCTGCTGGCACTGGGGGAAGAGCCTTGTCTCCTTTCAACATCTGTGGGTTTGGTATTCTTGGGAGTTCTCCATGTGTCTTGGCATGCATCTTCTCATGGATCTAGGAGGTTCTTGGCTCCAAAGACTCACTCTGCTCTTGGCTCACCGTTCCTGGTTCTCTGCTCATTTGTCTCTCTTTCACCTCGCATAAGGTTCAAGAAGATTCAGGCCACACCCCAGGGAAACTCAGAAACCCGCCTTATATTGGATCCAAGCTATGGCCTGAGTAAGAGTGTGACTCTCACCCTCATCTCCTTACATCTGATTGGCTGATCACATCAGGTCATGTCATGGGGAAGGGGGTGTTGAAGGGGGGGTTGACTATACCACTATATAACTGCTAAATTATGAGACTCATGACCAGTCAAGTTGACACATTTTTTTTGGAGGACGGGGGCACACAAGTCAACCCATGATACCTTGAGATAGCAATTGATTTATGAATGTATACCTTTCCAAACTTTTATGTAGTGTTGTTCAGTGACAGAGATGGTCTGCCCCATAATGTCTTCTGGGGTGTAATATTGATGGAGGCACGTTATCAAGTGCTTCTCCAGGGTCACTCCAATGACCAACCTTCCCATTAGCAGCCAAACGCTTAGCAATCACAGCAACACAGTGCTCTTTTCATGTGGCAACACAATCTCATTGAGCCCACACAACTAGCCCCCCAAGTAGTCTTCATCCCCACAGTCCCCGCGAGGAAATGAAGTAAAGTAATGTATCTGCCATTCTGGGGCAGTGCTGGGCAAGGCACACACAATTCCAGGACACTCTGGTTTCTTCCTCAGGAAGATGCTTTAACCACAGAGCAAGGTTCCAGGGAAGCTACCGGCTGAGCAGAGGCCTAGGTCAGAAGGTGGGCCTGGAGTGGCTGTTAAGCTGAGGACTGGTTTTCCTATCTGTAGAACAGGGTTCACAGTCCTTGCCTGAAGACATCCTGGAGAACTCTATGGGGCAATTCAGTTCTACCACATGGGGTTGCTAAGAGTCAGAATTGATGGCATACAACACCATTACATGAACGTCTGGAAATATATATATATATATATATAAAATGTTCATATGCCAACTGGTATCTCAAGGTGTGAGGGACTAAATTGTGTATGTCCCCCAAGTGTGCCAACCTGGCTGAGCCATGGTTCCAGTGGACTGGAAGTTATCAGTTATGCACTGAAGCAAACTGGCAACCGTGTGACGACGTACCGTATACTCTTGAGTATAAACCGACCCGAATATCAGTCAAGACACCTAATTTTACCACAAAAACTGCAGAAAAATGCGCTGAAAAAACTCGGCTTATACACGAGTATACATGGTAATCATCTTCCATGGTGTGGTTTGCCTTAAAATAGCCAGTCAGACATAAGGGGATCAGGGTCCCAGTCCTGATCCAATGTGGGACCTGGGATGTTTCCTAAAAGGTTGCATGACCTTGTGTCTTCTTCCAGGAGAGGTTTAGGATGAGCTGGAAGAAAGCTCTCATGGAGGTCAACCACCCTATCATTCAAAACAAGTTCTCCCTCCAGTCCTTGCTCCATGTCCATGCTTACACTCTGCCTCTGACCACTCACAGCAGACCTCCTGGGAAGGCTAGTAACCTCTTGGGCCTGTGGAACCCCACATGTGAGAATTATGCACAAATGGATATGGGGACAGGTGGTGACTGAGAGGTCCGCCCCACCCCTCCACCCAAATGCTCT